AGCTCAGCCCTCTCTGTTACTCTCCCTTACTCCTTGCTGTACTTTCTACACATATATGAATATGGAACATTTGAACCTGTTGAAATCACCATAAAAGGGGACTAAGGTAGAAAGGAGAATAATGGAGGAGATGAACCAATTCAGGGTATAATAAATATATACGTGGAAATGTCACAAGAAAACTCCCTATATAACCATCAAAAGCAAACAAAAATGTCTTTTTAAAAAATTTAGGCTAGAAAGGTAAAATGAGTCCTACCCAGTGGTTGGTATCCGTGGATGGGGGAGGGCATAAGAAAAGGGTGAAGGAAGGCCAATATGGTGTAAATATTATGTATTCATGTATGAAAATGGAACAATGAGACCTGCTGAAACTGCTCTAAGAGGTGGCAGGGGAGAGGTTTAAAGGAGAAAAATAGAGGAGGTAATTCTAACTAAAATATATTGTAAGCACTTTTGTAAATGTCATGCCATGGTACAATTATAATATGCTAATACTATGGTAATAAATAAATTTTAAAAAGAGAGAAGGTCACTTAATCAATACAGTTCATGTTTTGCTGAACACCAGCACTGAACACTGGCAGACATTTACCCGGGTATGGGGAGAAAGTTGAGTGCGTAATCTGAGCAGAAGCTTTAACCTACGTGGAGGGAAAGCAGGAGGCATGCGGGAGTGGCGTTAGAACTTCTGTGTTCCCTGTACAATAATAGCACTGGCTTTTAGGAACCTCCTTTCCTAGCCAAAACAAAAGTGTTTACGTGTTTCTTGTCCCTTATCAGCATCAAGTTGGCAGAGTTTATTTTCTCACTTATTTATGTTTTTTATTTGTAGGCTTTTGTTTTATTTTTTTCTGCTGTTAAAAGGAATGCCATCACAAACATTCATGTCCATAGCTCCTGGTGTACATGTGTCAGAGTTTTCTGGGGTAGATACTAAGGACAGCCACCATGGGAAATAAACATACTGTTGATGTTAGAAAGAAAACAGTAAGGTAGTCAATTTCAACTTATGCTGAGCTGCTTAATTCTTTCTATTCATTAGGTGTCATTCTTCTAAATCAAAGTGTGTTTAATTCTAGTTCATCCAAATCTTCCCCAATGAAAGCTTTCCATCAACAGGAACAGCATGGATGGCTTCATTCTCCGGCCCCTCCCATGTTTTCCAATTACAAATCACTTTTTCACCATTTTCAGCTGCACCTCCAGACTTCCCTTAATTTGTTTTCATCTTTATCTGAAGTGTATATGCTCAATCTTTCAAGACTGGCTACAGCGATGCCTGTCTCATCTACATCTCTTGGGATTTGTCATTGACAGACCAAATCTGTCATTTACACTCATGGAATCATCAGCCCCATCACCAGCTGTTGCCTGAGCATAACAGTTATTATCTGCTTCCTCCTCATTATCACCCACAGTTCAGGATGAAGGTCAAACACCTCCTGGCCCTGACCACTTCTGCTTCCCCTGCATTGAAGTCAACTTTCCTTCTTTCTGTATCTTGTTCAAGTTTATCAATCTTTCCTGTGTCTTCCAGGCAAGGAAATATTCTAGAGTGATCTAGGGAACATTTGGACCTGGACAGAATGCTCTCTTTCAACTAGATCTACTAATCCCATTTCATCTTTTTTCTCTTCTTTGTTTTTGTCTTCTTTGAACACAAATCCAGGAGAAGGGCATAGCAATACCTGCAATTATCAGACTCCCACCAGCTGTAGTTGCTATTTTCAATACTTTAAGGAAATGCTCACACACTATTTGAATATTTGGATTTTTTTTTCCACCTCACTATGCTACTTTATTCACTGTTTCTTCCAGATTTTTATCATCCCAATTATCTCCGGTATTTTTTCCAAGTTTTTCATTTCTCGCATCAATGTAAATGCTTGTCTCTTTCTCTCTCCAAAGTTAAGTCACAGGAGAATTCTACTCTCCTTTAATTCACTGTGCTTGTTTGAAGAATGTGCATACCATGGATTTGGGGCCTGCACCTTCACCATTTTTTGAGGAGCAGTTACAGGTTTAACAGGTTCATTTGGCTCCTGCATGTCTTTCTCCTTGTCATCTTTCTTAGGTTTCTTCTCAGCATCTCTCTGTGCTACCTGATGGGCACTTTGGTGACTTACTTCACTAGTGCCAGTCTTTATAAACTTGTGTTGCTTTGCTCCTCTCTAGTTCTTTTGGACCAAAGGTTTTGTCTTCAATAATCTTGTTTTCCTCTGCCTTTTGCTGCCCCTGGCCTCTGCCTGTTTCTGGAGAGGCATGGCAGAGACAAGTGTCACCAGCCAGACTTAGGCACAGATTGATTCTGTGCAGGACCTGGCACCACCATGCCCTCGCCACTGCAGCAGCTGTTGTGACAGGCCGGTGTCTCAGGGCACAGAGCATTGTCAGAAGGTCTGGGTTTAAACAGAGTAAAAAAAAAAATAAGTGATTTGTAAAAACGTTTGCTTGAAAAGTTCTTACATAAGAAATCATTCCATATGCACAGGTCATAAACCTATTATTTTCCCTCATTCTAAAATTGTCTTGTCTTTCACATTCAAGTTCTTAATTCACATGCAATTATTATCTGTATTTAGTATGAGATAGAAAATAAGTAAATTAGTGGGTAAGCACTAATTTGCAGGTTAGCACAGTCTCAGGTCAGATTTTCTATAAGAAAGAGTCTGTTTCTAGGCTCTGTGCTCTGGTTCACTGTGCTTTTGTCTTTCCCTGCTCCAATACAATCTGCCTTGAAGCCTGTAGTTTCCTTGTTGTTCCTCGTTTTCAAGTAGAACAACTCCCCTCACTTTGCTTTTCTCCTCCAGGGTGCCTATGCTCTCCGTGACCATTTGCCTTTCGCAGGGACCGAGAGTCAGCTTGGTGAGGGCCATTTCTGTCTTTGTTGGGAACTTTGCTCTAATTGCGTTAAGTGTGTATGTTCATTTGGAGAAGAATGACATCATTTTGATATTATGTCCAATCTTTCTGTCTTATAAATGAGGCAGATAGGAAAGCAAAGTGTTAATGAAGTTTCCTGGATGAAATATTCCAAATCATTTCTTCACATTGCTGGATATTCTTCTTTTGTCACATGACCAGAAATGTATCCACACAGAAAATTCTTCTACACATTTTTCTCTTTGAGTATTCATGAACATGGTCATGAGTGGATGTTGATTTATCATTTTTTTCTCAATGTCTTTCAGAGTAAATGGACTTAGCTATTTTCTGCTTTATTCATAGTTGCTTGATACTTTTGTTTTTAATGAGTATTTAACTGTTCATTTCTGATTTATAGAATAAAATTGATATTTGACTGTTAACCTTGAATCTAGTACTTTGGTCAACGGTGTTATTGATCCTAGTAAGTATCTGTGTATTATCTGGGTTTTTCTATGTAGGAATCATATTACTTGATAAATGTGCTTGTTTTCTTCAGTTATACTACTTATAACTTTTTGTTTGTTTGTTTGAGAGCTACCTAGTCTTGCTATGTTTCTCAGGCCAGCCTTGAACTCCCTATGTGACCTAAGGCTGTCCTCACATTTGCAATCCTCCTGTCTCATCCTCTGGGGAGCTGGAGCTGTAGCATGAACCACCATGGCTGGCCTCAACTTTTTCCTGTTTTTAATGTTTTTTTCTTATTCTTCTCAGTAGAAACTTTAACACAGCACTGAATGGAAGTGTCAATCCTTGCTTAGTCCTAAACTTTAAATGAATTGTTTTTGATATTTCACCATTAGGTATGATATGCCTTGTAGGGTTTCTGTGGACTCCTTGTATCAGTTGAAGGATGAGCCTTCTTATTCCTAACTTGTTGAAGGTTTGGGCTTGATTATTTTAATCATGAATGGATTTTTTTTTTTACTTCTATTGAGGTTATTCTGTATTAAAAATATGTTGATCTATTAAAATGATCATTTGGCTTCTCCTTTTATAAGCTGAATTGGGTAAAATATTATTGCCAGTCATTACTTCTTCAGTAGAAAGTTCTGTACAGTACTCAACAATTTGGATGGGAATAGAGCTCCATATGAGAAAAATCCAGAAGTAGGACCAAGAGAAAAACACAGCAAATAGGAAATTGTTACATATGAGAAGAGCATTTGGAATCCTTGGCACTGATGGAAAACATGAGCCACCTGGACCCATGGGCCCTCTGAGAAAATAGAGACAGAAAGAAGAGATGGAAACTGTGTGACGGTCGAAAAGGGAAATTGATGGAAGGGAGATGCTATTAATTATGCTTCACTCAGAAGATGTTTCTTTTTCTCTCAGAAATAGAGAAATATAGGCAGTTAAACATGTACCAGATCACCATATTCAAAGGGACCCCACTATGTGAAGAGAAAAGTTTGAAAGTTAATGAAGAAATGTAGGATAGATATAAAGATTTGCTTCTTACATACAAGTTAATAAGTAGTGGAATCAATTAGCTCCAAGCATTTGCACTGATTCAGAAATGGCTGTACATGGTACCGAGTGCAGCTTAGAGCTAAACGAACCTGTATCTGCCTTAGTGTGCAGTCCCTGGACCAGGCATACTCTACTCTTCATCCCTTGCTGACTACAGGACCTTCATGTGAGCTTTGATGGATTTTGTTTGCCTTTCCCGTGAGACGTGTGTCTGTCTGTGTGTTGGGGGGGGTGGGGCAGGATTCTCTCTGCTTTCCTTTTCTCCATTTCCCATGTTCTCTCACATATCATGTCTGTTTTAAATATTAAGTGTTTTGAAGATGGTCTTGACCTCTTTTTTGTTGTTGTGATTAAGTACAGAAAAGAGAAGTACCATAAATAGAAAAGGCCTGCATGTGGAATAGTTTAAAAGTTCTGTATGGGCCACGAGAGGGACCTCAGAAGGGGCCATTCCATCAGCCTCTTGCCTCTGCTTCCACTCCACCCTCCATGCAGATCAGATAGAGGAGGCAGCCCCAGGAGAGCAGAGGGATATGCACATGCAACCAATTGCTTTTTGTGCCTTTAGTAAAGTTCACGTTTGATTGCTTTTCCAGATTATGTAGATCCAGACATATTTTATGCAGTCATCCGGATCTTTTTCTCTGGGTAAGTAGAGTTCATTTGTTTTCCTGCATGAGGACTCTCTGTAGCATTTTCCAAGCTTATGAGAGGAGAAACAGCAGAACCTTCCTAGACTAAGGAGTTTACCAAGTGACCTTACTGGCAAAATAATTACCCAGATTCACTCTTGGGTGAAGGAGTGGGTGCCATCTGCATGGCACATGACATTAAGTTCAAAAGGATTGGCTTTAGGTCATCATATTAAATCCACTTGTATCCACTTTTCCTAGAATCCCATCTTGATGCCAGCCACATACCTCTATCACAACCATTCTCTCCCTTGCTGTTGAGGCAGGTGGAGAGATCATAGTAGCATAAAGTGTAAAAATGTTCTTCTAGTGTCCTGGAAGAGCTACTTGCTATGGTTTGCACCAATCCCTAACCCTGACCCCCCACCCCCAATTCAATTTTTGCAACCTTACCACCAGGGCAATGGTATTAGAAGGTTGAATATCTGGGAGGTGACTGTGTCATGAAAGCTCCACCCTTGTGAGTTGAATGGTACCAGTGTGTTTATATAAAAGCTAGAAAGGGCTGAGGATGTGACTCAGAGGTAGAGCACTTACCTAGCTTGTGTGAGATACTTACAAAAAAAGAAAGAAAGAAAAGTAAAAGAAATAATTCTGGAGAAAAATAGCTGGGCCCTCTTTTTCCCTTTTGCCTTCCATCCCTTCTGACCTGTGAGGACATAGCATTTAAGGATCCATCTGAAGCAAAGCCTGGCCTCTCATGGATTGAATCTGCCAGTGCCTTGATGTGGAACTTGCCTGCCTCTAGCACTGTGAGAAATAAATGTCTATTATTTGCAAATTACCCAGTTTAAGGTATTTTGCTGCATGGCAGCAGGAACTGCAGACCATTTTATGATGTTCCTAAATATTCTTCTTCTGTCATGTGGCTAGAAATTTCTCTAGACAGACAACTCTACTCTTGGATACACTTCTTCTCTTAAACACATTAGTAATCCCTATCTTGCCTTCCTACTCATTGACTCAGAGAATTAAGTGCTTTTAAATGTTTAAATGGTGAAAAGTGAAAGGTGGAGGCAGTGGCTGGATGAGGTGACAAGTGTGAAATAAATGTTGACAAGTATGCCATGCTGTGTTAGCTAGGTGATATCTGCAGGGCTGTCAACATGGACAATCTGAGCTGTCCCTGGACAGATCAAGAGACTTGCCAAATGCTAAAATCTACTAATGATCTGTCCCATTGGTATAAAAACAAACTGTATACAAAATATTTTCTCCAGATTGGATGGAATCCCAGGCACTTTGAGGGGAGTCCAGCTTGGGTGGAGAATCCTTGCTGTAGGATGAAGAGTGGAAGCAAGAAGGTTTCCAGAGAGTAACTTGGGAGTAATGGGCCTGTGACTTATGGAGGAAAAAGGAGGGGAAGGATCTTATGGTTTTCATCCTAATGTCCCCTAAAGGTCATGTATCGAATGCTTGGCTGCCAGCCTGAGGTACAATTGGGAAATTAGGTTATTGGAGGTGTGACCGTGAAGGGAATATTATTACCTTGGCCCCTCCTCTCTCTCTTGCTTCCCTGCCACCATGAGACGAACAGCTTGAACTTGTTCTCCCTTGCCATGATATTCTACCTGGCCATAGGTCCAAGAGACCATGGACTGAAGCCTTTGAAGTCATGAGCCAAAAGAAACCTCTTCTCCTTATAAGTTGATTATCCCAGGCATTTTGTCACAGGGGTGGAAAGCTGAGTGGCATGAGAAGAAGTGAGTACAAATAGGGTTTGGAATTGATCTCAGAATTTGCATAATTTTGGTAAGTTGATGTAGGAGAATAAAAGGGCTTTGAGACTCTACATGAAGCTCATACTAGATATGGAAACAGACTAGAATGTAGAAAGCAAGGAATCCTGGCGTATCTCTTTAGTTTCTAAATTTGTATTCATTTTTCCAGTATTGTGTAACAAACTACCATATTTAGCAGCTATAAAAAATGTGGGGAGCCGACAGGTGTATTGAATAAGCCACGTGTTTGAGTTTGGCACAGCCCCAAACCGCAGAAGGGAGCAAGCATAGTTATGCCCAATGAATTGTATGCTTGAGTTAGCACAGTCTCAGCTGCAGAAGTGGGCAAGATGCAGTACAGCTGTTTTTTCCTAAGATGTTCACGTTCAGCGAGAATCTGTCACAGGTTTCTCCTGTTCCCGAGGATTACAATGTTAAGCCCCTCTCCCCCGAGAAATGCCTCTCTACCTCATGTTGCCACTGTATATAATAAACTCCCTGGAGGTGAGGGAGCACCTAGCCTACCTGGCTCAAGCTTTATGCATGTTTGGTCTTCTGTCTGCTGTCTTTCTCTGCAACTCCTGTTGCCCTCAGGTTTCTGTGCCAAACTCATGCAGGTCATGAGAAACCAACACACTTGTTATCTCACAGTTCTTAGATCCAAAGTCCAGGCAAGCTCAATCAGGTTCTTCCTTTAGGGTCTCAAAAGGCTGACGTCAGGAGATCTGATGGGCTGGGCACTGTGTGTGTGTCTGTGTAGTATGTTTTGTGTATGTGTGTGTGTTTCTAGAACTGACGTCTGTGTTTCCTTATAGGCTGTCAGATGAGAGCTGCTCTCAGGCCTTGGAAGCCTCCCTGTGTGGCTCCCTATGCCTCGGCAATTGTGCTTCTGACTCTTCTAGTACTGCAAACCTCCCTGTTTTCTTTGCCACTGGCCGGGGAAAACTCTGCCTTGTAAATTTTGGCTCACCTAGATAACTCAAGGAGACTTCTGGCCTGAGGTCAGCTGATCAGTAACCTTAATTTTATCGGAAAACCCTCTTTGCCTTGCCCTCTGCCATGTCATATTGACAGGAACATTTCATGATATTAGCAGTCCTGGGAATTAGGATGGGAACCATTTTTAGAATATTTCCTACCACAGTGTCTTTCAAGGGAATAAATTAATTCTACTTCTTTCTGTCAGAGGATCTGGTAAGGATAAACTGCATATTTTGAAAATCTTGTGATTAGACAGGTAGCAGAGGATGACTTTGTTTTCATTAAAATTAGTTCTAGGTCAGTGACATGTTTTATCTGTGGTCTACACAAATGAATCCCCTGTGTTTCCAGTCCACAAAATATTTCTCATGTAGCTATGTGACCAGTACCAAATCCTAAATGTGTTAATAACTGTACATGCTCAAAACCTCTGGAGTGCTAAGAATTCCCAAAAGAGTTGTCTTGAGAATGCACGTTTCCCCACTTCTCCTCTGTTTGCTTTATTATTTATTAACTTCTTTAAAAACATTTTCACTTAGGAGAGGTGAAAAATTTCATCTGTACATAAACATATTGCCTTTAGTTTCCATGCACATTAAATTTCTCAGGAAAGTTATCAGACCTTGTGGAAAAAATGTCATCTCAATTTTTTTCTGTTTAAGCTTCCTCTTTTCTTGGGGTCGCTAAAAATAAGCTATGAGAAAGATTAAAAATAACCCTGACTACAGAGATTTGAAGGAAATTAGTTTCTTCCCTACGTAAACAGTGGCTTGGCCTGCAAGGGCCCAAGTGTGATTCTGGAGAAAGGCAATTTCCCTTCCTCAGACCAGCTTGAGCTGGGGAGTGAGCGGGGAACAAGGAGCTTCAAAGCAGATGTTCTTCTTTTAGCCTTTGGGCTTTCATGCATGTGATTCCTCATGGCCTTCCATGTGACCTCAGCACATCCCCTCCAGCCTGGGGCACAAAGGAGACTGGCATATTTGATAGCTCCTTTAAGCAGGCCAGGTCCTTTCAAGAAACTCATATGGGTTTGCATATTCTGGACATATAATACGGATTTAAAGAATGCTATTTTTTTCATTCATTCATCAAATATCTAGTGAGTGCTTGTCTCCTACCTGGCACGGTTGTACATTCTGGGATAGAGAGGTAAAGCAAAAGGACAACTTTTCCTTATGGAGCCTGCATTTTAAAGACAGGGACACAAAATGAATTAATAAGCAAGTGAACCTAATGAGAGCAAACATCAGTGAGGTGCCATGGCTCACGCTTGTAATCCCAGCTACTCAGGAAACAGACATCAGTAAGACTGCAATTGGAGGCCAGCCCAGTCACAAAGTTTACCAGGGCTTCCTCTCAACCAACAAGTGGAGCATTGTGCTGCATATCTATTATCTCTCTTCTAACAGATCACTGTCTGAGGCTAGCTTTGGGCAAAAATGTGAGATCTTATCCAAAAATAACTACAAAGCCAAAAAGGTTGGGGGTGTGGCTTAAATGGTAGAGCAACTGCCTAGCAAGTATGAGGCCCTGGGTTCAAATCCCAGTGTCACACACATACAGAAAAACAAGCTCTTGCAAGATGTGTTATAAGAGGCAGTATGGGGACACGTCAAATAGGATGTAGAGCACTGGGGGAGGGAAACAACAAGATTGAGGAGGAAGAGGAGGCATTGGGAGATAGGTTTTAGGATATGTCCATTCTGGGGATACATTAAGTAAGTAGTTGTGCATTTGAGTCTGGAGTACAGCTATGGCTGTAAATTTGTAAATAGAAGATACTTGGGTTTTTTAGTGATTGCTTGGGAAGGGAGAGAAGTGAGAAGTCCAAGGTTGACCTATGAGAGTCAGATCAGTGGTCCAGGATGCAAAGGGGCTAGTGAAGGAGATTGAAATGGCTTCTTATCACCTTCAGGTCACAGAGAGAAATGCCAGCACACAGTGCTCCAGTGTGTTTGGGTCCACTTAGGAGCCAGTAGCAGTCATGTCTTCAACATTTTATTAGATGAGTCACAAGACTTCTTTGAGCCCATTTAGTTCTTCTAACAGTTACAGGGTATAGATACAAATTGGGGGAACTAAGGTTTGGAAGGATTTTGTCATTATGGATAAACAAAGACTCAAAGTAGTTAAATTTCCAGGACCAATTATTAAAGAATGATGGAACCAGAGCTTGAACTCTAAACTTGCATTTTTCTATCTTCCTCTGCCAAACAAACCCACCCTATAGATTTCTATTTTCACTAAGGGAAAGAATCTTCTCCTTCTATGGTTAAAAGTCAGCAAGTAATGAGAGGGGAAGCAGGAATTCCAACTCATTCGGAATAATACAAAAATGACTAATATTTATTATTCAATGGATAATATGTTTCAAGCTCTAGGCAAATGTTATTTTAATTAGTTATTGCAGGTAGATACTAATATTACTCAGATGAAGAAACTGAGGCTTGGAGAGGTTAATTCACTAAGGCTCACAGTCAGCAATAGCAAAGTGGAGATTAAATTGCATATCTGCCTGCTGAATGGAGCCCTTGCTCCTAATAGCCCCAGCCTGTCATGACCCTAGAGTGGGACTCTTTCCTTAGCTCTTGCCATGCGTCCGCCTCTCTTTCCATGCCTCATCTCCTTCCAGAAAGATAGCACCCCAACTGCTAAAGCCACTCTGCTGTTTATCCAGGGAAAACCCAGGAATAGCCAACCCCAAACAACTTCCAGAGAGATCAACCCACTCCTTGCAGCATCTTTGAAAAAGGTCTTGAATGCAACCAGAGTGGTCTGTTTGTGGCTTTTATGTATGAGTGTGTCAGGTGTCTCTTTTCTTGGGCAAAATGACATTTGGAATTTCAGGAAGAAGGTAAAACATCAATGCAATTCTGTTACTTCCATTGTAGGCACCAGGAAGTTAGCTTGCTACCAGACATAAAGGGAAAAGATTCTTTTCCTTAGTGAAAATAGAAAGATAGGCAATTATTAAGTTTGACATGCAAGTTCTAGTTCCATTGTTCTTTAATAATGAGACTCTGGAAACTTAACTACTTTGAGTCTTTGTTTATCTATAAAATGAGCTAAAAACATCTGCCCTGATCTAGTTCCAAGAGGTCAAATGAGAAAGTGAGTGTGCAGGGGTTTTATAAACTGCAAAGCACAGTGAGTGCAAATGTAACACACTCCCCTTGTCACTGTTTTTCTTACTATGAGGTTACCACCTACACTTATGACTCTTCAAGACTCTGGGAAAAGTCAGGCATGAGGAGGTTAGTCAATTAGATGGATGCAGAAAGAGAGGTACTGGGCAAACAAGGAAGAAAGGGCACGAAGGACGGAGAAGAGGAGCGCAGGGGAGAACAGCCATTTACTTTGAGCATGGATCCTGCCTGCAGCCCTGCTAAGATGCAGGGTTGTGCTGCACTTTCTTTGTCACTACCCTTATTAGCCACCAGCAGCACCAATGCCTGCTGTCAACAAAACATTTGATAAAGGAATTCTCACAAAGACGGGATATCTCGCACCCACAGTTTAATGCAACACTGTGACGATTACCATCGTTTCAGAGAAGAGCAAAACTGTGCTTGTGTGAGGTGTGTGTGTGTGTGTGTGTGTGTGTGTGTGTGTGCATTTGTAAAATTGTACTTCTGGAGTTGCAAGTATGAGATCATTGAGGTTGAGATTAGCAGAGGAAGAGAAGATTTGTCAACAGTCTCTGAACTGCCTTGCCGATCAGAACGAATGGCTTTGTTAGAACTGATCTTTCCCACTTAGTATGTCATGGAACCAATGCCAAAGCTTCCTCCCTAAGTAGTCCTTACTTCTCTGAAAGAGTCCTTGAAACAGGGAAGAGAAGGGATGTGGTATTGTGGAGCATAGTGAAGCTGAGGTCAAAGTGATGCTGCAGTACATACCTGTGGAGACTCCCAGGCCTTGCTCTACACATATCACTGACACCATGGTCACTTTTGTGTTTGCTGTCAATTTCCACATTCGAGAATATACTGTTCATTCCTAGTGCCCATTCTCTCTGCCTTTCACTCCTGATTAGATGGAAAGACAACCCGGCAATGTCTGCAGGACTCATATATGAAGGAGTCTCCACGGAGCCCCTGAAATACTCTGGAGGGAGTGCAGCTCAGAGCTCGGTGCTCCACGCCTTCGATGAGCTCTTGGGTATTCATCACACCAAGGAAAGTGGTAAGCCAGACATTTGCTCTTTCTTTTTTTCTCAAGAGGAGAGTGAGGAAGAACAGGGAGGGTTTCTTTATAATCAACTGATAAAACCAAGCATAAATTAAAATGGCATAAAGTATGTATTTCCCTAAATCAACCAGGGCATGCCTGCCACATGTTATTGTGTCAAATCAATTAATATCAGAGAACCAGATCTCAGCAGAAGCTTGGATTTCATTTTCAAATCTGAAACATTCCTACATATTCCAGCTGTCCCCTGTAATTTTGGTTTGGATCCTTAGGCTGTTGCTTCCTTTTTCTAAAACAGGGGAGAGATGGGGAATTTGAAGACTATGAAATTATGTTGCTGAGACTGGAGCCAGCTGGTAATGGACCTGAGCTCCTCCACTAATGTCCTTCCCCATAAAATGGTACAACTTTCAGCCAAATCCATTTGGACTAGAGAGGGAGGGTCTGTTATTTCGGAAGTTTGAAATTGCTTATTTCTTTGCCTGCCAGTATCAAGCTGTGTATTTAACAGCTGCAAAAAAGCACTTCACACTATAAAGGTTTCAAGTTGCATTAGAAAAAAAAATGACTAGAACTTTGTGCCAGAGTCTAGTTTCTTCCACAAAGTTGGTTCTCTAGGACAATGATAACTTCATGTGTTTTTTTGAGTTTGGTGGTGCTGAAGATTGATTTACTACAATGTAATATTAAACATATAATGAATTTCCTATAAATATCGATTCATTTGATTTTCAAACAACTTCGCTTCAAGAGGTTATTATTAAAACAGTTGCTCCTTCTTTATCTTTCTGTTTTTGTGCACAGTGTAACTTTTATCTTCCCTTGCAATCCCTCTAAAAGAAAGCACTTAGAGAACAAAACTCCTTGTCAGCTTGTGGCTTGTGTCTTTCATTTGTAGGTTCCCCTCACAGTGACTGCAGTGAGAAGCTAGATGGCTTTGTTCACATTTGGCCAATGGTTTATACACCAACTGGTCGATGTATTTCTGCCTCACTTATCTGGGATGCGCTTCCTTCTTTTTCTCTTCCTCATTGCCTGTCAAAAGTCAGAAAGACACAGTTGAGTGTTAGGTGTCTATAAACAAACAACCAGCAAGTAGGTTGAGTTAGGACATCAGCAACAGTTTCTGGTACCTTCGTGTCTGGAGCAGAGGCAAACTCCTGTATTTTTGTGTGGAGCTCAGTTGTTCTTCTGGGTTGCTTCTTTCAGCTGCCTTTCTGTACAGGATGAGGGACTACATGCCTCCTTCCCATAAGGCCTTCATAGAAGAAATCCACTCAGCCCCTTCTCTGAGGGACCACATCCTGTCCTCCGGCCATGGCCACTGCCTGACAGCCTACAACCAGTGCGTGGAGGCCCTGGCAGAGCTACGCAGCTATCACATCACCGTGGTGACCAAATACCTCATCACAGCTGCAGCCAAAGCAAGGAGCAGAAGGCCAACCCACCTCCCCAGGCCACCTCAAGCTTTAGAAGACATAGGCACAGGAGGCAGTGCCATCCTGAGCTTCCTGAAGAGTGTCAGGGATAAGACTTTAGAGGCAATCCTGAAACCAAGCGGTTAGGACACCTTCTCTCTGGCAAAGCAGAGCCCACCATGGAGGGCTGGAGAATGAGGATCAGGGTCGGCGTGGAATCCTCCAAAAGGGACCTCAACCCTCTTTATATGTCTGCTCTACAAAACACCATATTCTCCTCTGCTGACAAGCTGTTGTCCTCACACAGCAGAGTTTATGATGCTAGAAATGTTCCTGCCGTCCTTGGTCACCACCTAACAAGCTCACAGCTATGGACACTTCCCCATGCAGAGTCCCACAGAGGAGAAGATGTATCCTGTCTTCTTTGCCAAGTGATAGAAAACCAGACTAAGTTTCAAAAACTAAATAAAATTGTCCATTGACAGATTACCTTATTGGTTCCTTACATTCTTCCTTCCTTCTTCCCTCCCTCCAGTTCCTCCCTTCATCCCTCTTATCTCTTTCTCTTTCTTTCTTTCTTCCCCCCCCCCCTCCTTCATCTTACTGTGTAGCTTGACATCCTCCTGCCTCAACTTCCTGGAGGCTGGGATTACAGATGTCACCACACCTGGCCTGTTGATTCCTTTACAGAACAAATTCACTTAACAATTCCTTAAGTTCCTCTTAAGCTCTTGCTGGGAGAATTACAACAGGGATTTCTGTGACCCCAGGCTGGCCCTCTTCTCCCTGTGTGTGGTGAATGTGGTGGCAGGAGATTGGGGAAGCTCCAGAGAGCTATGTAGAGGAGAGGATGTGACAATGAAGACCTGGAAGTCCCAGTGTGAGAAAGGGAGTTAATGGTAAGGGAACTGATGAGACTTTTCTACATGGGACATAGATTTGCAAATTTTGTCTTGATTCCCTTCTTTATTTTTAGAAGAATTAAAAAAATCCTGACACTGGAAGTCTATACTTATAAAATTAATTAATTGATCCTTTAAAAGTAAATGATCCAAAGGGGAATAATAGTAAACCTGATGTTCAGTGTATAAGTAGATGTAACTTATTATTCTCTCAGTTTCTATCTCAAAGTTTCATTCTACCTGACAATAGAAAAACAGAAAACTTTAATCTTGCTAGTTTAGAATAAACTCCATTAATTTAAAGTTATCCCCACTTTACACTCACGCACCCACACAAGCATGCGTGCACAGACACAGCCCTGAGATAGAATCTATCCCAGCCTCTTGAGAAGCCCTCCTGCTGTGGACTCTGGTCGGGTGGAACTGGCAGCATGTCCCATCCTGTGAGAAAGATAATTCAGACTCTTCAGCCATTGGTTGTCAAAGTCCTATTATGCCATTGCAAAACCATTCGACTCTTCCCTACATTTTCTGGGGTATTTGGAGGCCATAGGAGCAGCTGAGGGCATCTATCCAGTGCCCACAGCAACAATCTCCGCTCTTCTGCCTGGGGCAGAGAGTTCTGTACTCTGTCAACTCTCTGAGCATTTGGTAAGAAGACACGGAGCAAGTCTGGCACTGGACACAGCCAGCGGGCTGTGTTTCATGTTCCCTAGGCTTGGTCTGGCAAAGACAGGGAGGCGCACATGACAGGACCTAGATACACTCAAACATGCTCTCCTCTGTGTCTGTCATTGTCCCTTCTCCTTCTAATTCGGTGGCCAAGGGGAAACAAAGGGTCTGGTGGTATCCTATCTGCTTATTGTTCAGGTCAGAGTCTCAGCTCTAAATAACTCAGACTGTCAGAATCCCAAAACCGTTTTTTCTCTACATCCTGTCCTTGTCCTATGTGTGAAAAGTCTCTTTTCAAGTTTCAAAAATATGAGCATGAATGTCTTTATTTCTCTTTGCTCTGAGATCAACAAGGCCAGACAATGCCACATGTGTCATGGGCCAATGAAGTAGACTGGGTAGGGAAGAGGACAGAAGCCTGGTGGTTAAGGATTCACATGGCCGTCCCTCCCCTCTGTCATTCTTAAGTGCAAAAATTTAAATGACCTTTAAGATAGGACCTGGGTTGGATTCTGACTTTCCTATTTTTTTTTAAAAAACAACATGGCTTTCAATTGGTTCCAGAAAGTCACTAATTCTCAGTTTCCTATTTCTTATACAATCGAGATGATCGGGTCTCAAAGCAGATACAAAAAACAGAAAGGATAACTATCAAAGGAAATATATCAATACAAGTTTAGTGGCTTGTGAAGTGGAGCTCATAGGATAGTATACCTATCAGCCCAGAGAACACACTGTATTCCTCATATATCTGGGATCCACAGAGACTGCAGAACAATGACGAGACCCTTTATCACTTGGGGATGCTGGAAAGCAGAAAGTGACAAAAGTATGGGGTGAAAAGAGCTGAAAACCCCAGCTTTGTCACATAGTACACTGACTGACACTAACTTTTGGGAGCCGTGACTTACTTCATCGTGAGAGAAGGAATATTTCCTAATTACTGGGGGAAGCTAGACAGATGCTGTTCGGCCCACAATGTCTCTGGAAACCCATGGAAGTTGGAATGTGCTGAGTATACCTACTGGACATCCCAGCTCAACAGCACTTGAGAGAGGCTCACACTGCACATGGCTAGCCTGGGAGAAAAATAACACTCAGTCTGGTTTCTATTGGATGTCTATTGTTTTCACACCATTGTAAAAGCAAAAAGTCCTAAGTTGGGGCACATCTGCATGTGGAAGAAGGAGCTAAGTGGATTATGACAATGTTTCATCTATGTGTCCCTCATTGGAGAGACCCTGGCCTAGGGCTTCCTGTGAGCCAGAAAACAAGCAGGAACTGGGTGTCTGTCTCTTCCATATGTGGTGCAGATAAGGAGCAATGCAACCCCACAACAAGCAACAAAGTGGGATGGAACTGGATGTTTCTGGTAATCACATAGGCGTGTGGTGAGCAATAGTGAGAACTAAAGGAGAAATGTCATACTCATAATCCATGCCTATGCTGAACTGGGTCCATCCTACCTGGTTTCCTGGCAGTGAATCAAGTTCACTGAGACCATAGAGCTTGACACAGAGGTTTCTATAAATATTGAATCTGGGCACAACTCGACAGACTCAATGGAGTGGGAAGAGGCGTGTGCTAAGCTTGTGTTTCAGAGCCTTCAGAATGCATTTGTGTGCTCATTGCTGATAAACCTTAGACACAAGCGTGGGGCCAATGCAGACAGCCTTTATCTTGTTTGCCTATGAAAACAGTCAATTGATGGATGTAGTTCATGTGTCAAGAGGTGATCCCTTGGGTAGAGAGTTCCATTTTCAGCTTTATGGTATGACAGCAGAGTTCCATGTAGAAGTGAATATGCTGTTTTCAAGATTTGCAGGAACAAAGAGCATGCACACTAGTGAAAAACGGCTATGTAATGGTGGAAATAATTTGTGATGATGATGGTGGTAGTGATGAAGGGACCCTACTCAAGCCTGAAGAAGTGGCAGTGTGGATTCAAGTCCTGGTATGGATGGTTTAGATGCTTATTTATAGTACAACTTGTTTAACTTGCACCACATTTCTAAGTCATAGTTACCACATATGGAAATGAGGATAATAGCTACCTCATCAGGGCTTCCATGATGTGTGCTCTGCAAGCCCTCTCTAGTGTCTAATGCATCACAACTGCTCAATAATTCAGAATCAATTAACTCCAGGACTGAATGGGAGAGAGGGGAGGTCTACAAGTTCTTCCCCTCAGAAAATGATTTTGTTATTGTCAGGAGCCTGTCAGAGATGGAAGCATAATGGTTTCTTCCTGTCTTAGGGAGTTTGTATCTTGGATTGGTGCACAAGGTCAGTCTACAAGTAGCTGGAATTGGTGCTGCTTATGGGTTTGATCTGAAGCTTCACAAATTTATCCTTACATATGGATCTCTCCTTCAATGGTCATATATTTTTGAGATTCCTTGATTAGAGTCTTATATTTATTAGTGAGAGTTCTCCAGAAAATCGAAACCATGTAGTGAGAGAGAGAGTCCAAAGTTGGGGGAGCCTGGCAAGCTAGAGACCCAGGGAAGAGCTGATGTTAAGCTCATCTGCTCAAGTCCAAAGGCCATCTGTTAGCAGAATTCCTAGTTCCTAGGCTGGATTTTGTTCTATTAAGACCTTCAATTGATTGGAAGAGACTCATCCACATTGGGAAGGTAGTAATCTGTCGTGCTAAAAGTCCATCAATTTGAATGCCAATCTCACCAAAAACAAAAAACCCATCATCACAGACACATACCACATAATGTTTGACCAAATATATCTGTCTGCTGAGGCCCAGTGAAGTTCAAACATGAAATCAATCATTAAAGCCTCCTAAAGAACCCAAATCAGGGTAAAATAGGGCTTCTGGCACATGCTGTCCCTCCACTCTCCAGACAAAAGAGTCCTCCATTCATAGTGCCAGAGCAATCATAAGAGGGGTGGAGAGTGTGGCTGTAACCAAAGAGATTCCAGGCTTTGGCCATAGGTTGGATCGAAACACCTGAGAGAAACATGGGGGTGTGGCCTAGGGAACTTTGTTCACCACTAAAGGCACTGTGTGCCAGGTGACCCATGTGGAATGAAGGTATTGCCTCTTTTTAAATTTTTTGTGTTGCTGGGGATCAAACCCAGGGCTTTGAGCAAGCTAGGCAAGTGCTCTATCATTGAACTACACCCCTGACCCTGAAAATACCCTCTTAGTAACAAAAAAGACTCTCCTGTCAGGTTGGCAATGTGGGTTGAACGTTCACATGGAGAGGAAAGAAGGGCCCTGAAGGCCTAGATCTTGCACACGAGATTCACCTTTGCCAGGGCCACGCCACTTATCCCTGCTGCTGCCTTCGAAGGACACTGGTTCATTTTAGGTTGTGCCGAAGTCCTAGGGTTAGTTTGGCAATGTTAAAGAGACCTTAGTAAAAACTCAGAATGACTATAAACGCAAGTAAACAAAGAATAGTAAAGAAATAACAGCCAAGTAACATGGCTAACATGTGTTGCCCACTCTGTAGTGCTCATGGCCCTGCATTGACCTGACTCCTGAGCTAACTCTGGCTGGGTGGTCCCCTCAAAAAGGGACACAAAGGTACTCACACTGTGTGAAGTCAAGAC